TTCTTATGCATTTTTAAATATTAAAAGTGTCACAATTTAATTGCCTATAAATAAACACAGGATGACGTCATCATTCCACAATGTTGTTTGAATAAGGGTCTTTGCTTGGACAAAGATTGGTGTAAATGAATTACTGGCAAAGATTCAAAAATGCCCTTTGAAAATCGACAATTATTTTTTAATTTCTGTGTACAAAGTCTATGGGAAAAATTACATATTCAAAAATCTATAATAAATTAGTCGATGACGTCACCATGACGTCAATCTTCGGGACAAATCTTTGCTACAGGGGCTATGCTTATGCTAACTTTGAATGATGTATGACAAAGATTAATGCCAAAAGTGGTGGGCAGAAAAAACGTGTACAAAGTCTATGGCGTTTAGGCGACAAAAGCTAACTACTGAAATGCTTAATATATGTATGTAATTAAGGCAAAAATTATTCAGAGAGTTAGGGTTTTCATTAAACATTGATGTGTACATGTATGAAATAATTATACGAGTCACAATGTCAGCTGTATAAACATACGTTGAGTTTTGTGGGGATTTTAAAATCAATGATGATGATTTTCAGTGATTATTTTGGACTGGGTATTAGGCCAAAAAAAAAAATATTCGGCCTCTGGTCAGACCAAAGTTCCGGAATTGACGCGGCCACGCGGCTTTTTTTTTTTTTTTTCCTTTTTTTTTTTTCTTCAGCTTGGATTGTACAGACAAGGTGGGTACTATTTTGCTTTTTTGGTGTCCTCATGTACATTGGTGGCCTCCATAATTTGCCTTGGTGCTTTCGATCATTTGCCTTGGTGCAGTTTCCCATTCATTGGTGCTCTTTGGTAAAAAAACATTGAGGAGGTACGGAAATAGAGGGCGCTGTTGGAGCTACCGCGGAACATTTTGGAAAAAAAAAAGATCGACGCGCATGCTTAAAATCGACGCGCGCGCTGACCAGAGACCGACTTTTTTTTTGGCCTTATTGAAGTTTATTGTCGAGATAAGGCCAAAAACCAAAAAATAAAAAAGTCGGTCTCTGGTCAGCGCGCGCGTTGATTGTAATCATGCCACACCTAAATAGTTCCACCTTGTCTGTACAATCGAAGCTTAAACAACAAAAAAAAGCCAAAAAAAAAGGCTGCGTCGCCGTGTCAGTTCCATAACTTTGGTCTGACCAGAGACAGAATATTTTTTTTTTTTGGCCTAAGGTGTCATTAAACTGTTTTATTTACTGCTAATTAAATGCATGTACATATAGGGCGAGTCAAAAACAGCAACGCAAATGTTGGGACGATTAGTGCAGTTCTGCATGTAGCTGTAATATGTAAATTGTGAGACCATAACTTTATTATATGGTTGGTCATCAACAATGACCAATGGTGACAATGGTCAAGCAGAGTGGGTGAACAAAGTCAGCAAATTTGACAGCCATTTCACGAAGTGCCAGCAAAAAGGAATATAATGTGTGTCACAAAGTTGGACTTTCAAAATCTAGTACATGAAAGCTCAATTCAGAATCTTTCTTTTAGTACAAGAATCATTCAGATCACTCGTTATTTTTTGATGATACGGAACTTTAAACACAACCAATGTTTGAAAGTGTTGTCCATGGATGACACAAAAGGTGGGTGTTGTTTCAGCAAAATGAAAAGAATTCATACACATCCCTACGTGATCTTTTTTCATTTTGCTGAAAGAAGTCTTACCTTCTTGTGATCCAAAGATAATCTTTTAAAATAGTGGTTTTGTTTAAAATTCTTAATTGTCGTGTTTAAAAACGAGTGAAGTACCTAGTTGATTTTAATGATTTCTGTACTACATGAAAGATAATAGATTGGGGTTGCATATGCTAGATTTTGAAAGTGCTACATGCAGAAGCTAACTTAATGATTAGTTGTGACATTTGGGGTTGCTTTTTTGACTCGCCCATGGAGTACATAATTAAAAGCAATATTTTTTTAGAAAATATTGGTTTTGATTGAAACACTAATATGGACATTTTTTAAATAACTGAACGAGTCAAGACTTTACTTCCATGATTTAATAGATGGTGATTTTGGTTCTGATTTTGAAAACAAGGATAATTTGAATATGGATAATTCTGGATTTGCAGTGATTAGTTTCGATTTGAAGATGACTCCTCAGGATTGCTTAGACTCCGCAGGATGGCTCAGTCTTTAATCCACTGCTAGGGTAGCCTTTGATGTTGAGGCTTCACCCGCTTCAGAGTCATCAGTGATGCTGTAAAATGAAAAAGAATACAATTTGAATGAGCAGTGAGGTGAAAATTGAAATTTGAATATGTGATGTTAGGCCAAACAAAAAAAATAAGTCGGTCTCTGGGCAGCGTGCTCGTCGATTTTAAGCATGCGTGTCGATCCTTTTTTTTCCAAAATGTTCCACGGTAGCTCCAACAGCGCCCTCTATTTCCGCACCTCCTCATTTTTTTTTTTACCAAAGAGCACCAAGGAATGGGAAATTGCACCAAGGCAAATGATTGAAAGCACCAAGGCAAATTATGGAGGCCACCAATGTACATGAGGACACCAAAAAAGCAAAATAGTACCCACCTTGTCTGTACAATCCAAGCTGAAGAAAAAAAAAAAAAGAAGCCGCGTGGCCGCGTCAATTCCGGAACTTTGGTCTGACCAGAGACTGAATATTTTTTTTTTTGCCTTAAGTTAAGTTTCAGAGAAAAAATAGTTTGTGTTATGTAGCACTCAAAGTTTAATTGAATTAGATTTAAATATTAATTTATGGTGTTTTGTGATAGTCATGGTAAATTCCTTGTTTTTAACAGTTAGTGATACATGTAATTAAGCAAGACGTTAGAATAAGTGGTGGAAAGACGGTTTGAAATGAAAATTTGGCGGAGTATAAATACAAAATGAAAATATAAACTTATGTTTGAAGTTGGTCAAAAACACACGCTGCAACTTTCTTATATGTCGTACAGTATGCTTGTTAAATTAGAACAAATACTAAGAATGTTTACTTCGAAGTGTATAATTTACAAAGAATACAGTAAGTAATACAGCAATAAAAATATATTAAACCTTTGTTGAACCTTTTGTTTAAAACACTGGGTATTGTACATCATATAACTTCAGAATTTGGCAGAAATAAAAGAAAGCAAAGTAACACATGAACAAAGATGACATAAACTTGTAGGAAACAAATTTGAAAACTTCGTGATATTTCTGTCCTTTTTTTTGTTTTACTTTTGTGCCTACATATATATCGCTTACATAGAGATCTCCACACATTGCATTTTTTATTGGTGGCATTGAAAAAGTGTTATAGTCTGTGCAGACTAACTTACTCTGGGTTTATCTGTTGGACAGTGGTGTTAGTAGACTTGACAGTAGTGACAAGTGGCAGTGTAGCTTGTAATTCGTCTAGATCCTGTAGATCCAGTGCTGTCAGAAGCATACTGGCCGACACTTTGTACTCATCTTTGTGACTCTGAATAAATAGGTGAAGCAGGTCACTGTAGGAGATGTGGTACTTGAGTCAAATAATTTTAAAAATAAGGAAAATATACTGAAACATATAAGTATGGAACACTTGATTTAAGATAACCACAATTGGAAAGACAATGTTTTTCATTTTTTACTTTGTGTTTTTTTGGTGAACAACAATGTAATGAAATGAATAGGGTTTGGTTTATTTAAATAGTTATTGTTATAAACATTAAGGAACATCTAATATTGTGAGACAAATGAGACAATTAATTGTTTCTCAAAAGAAAATAGAAAAGAATTGTGCATACAAAGAATACTTGTTTTTCTTTGTTTAGAATGATCAGCTATGAAAAGGAATGACGTTTCTTTCAAGGTCAAATTTAGTAATACACGCATTGAGGAATTAAGTTTCAAAAGGTAATACTCCAGAGCATTCTCACAGGGTTTGTGTGCAGTGAGTCAAGTGTATGGACACTTTCCTGTAGTTTTGTATTTGTGAGTTTTGGTGTGTATTATAAGTACAGTCAGCATGAGAATATATTATGTGAAATAGGAAGATGGTCTAAGGCTGGTGAAAAGTGATAGTGTAATAGAGCGTGACTTGACTGTAGGGTTTGGGTAAGGGTGAAGTCCATCATGTTTTTGTAACAAAATAATAGTGGCCTGTTGACTTCATTTTTGTCAGAAAGTGTTATAATGTGTAACGTCTGTTTGTGTTTATCAAGATAACAAACATGTGAATGGAAAACACTGTATTTCATTTTTATGGAGGGTGGATCTTCCATAATATGTGATTGTTAGTGTATTTGTCATTCCCTGAAGTTGAGAGTCAAGTTTTGATTTTGTTTTTTGATAGGCCATACATTGTGGTTTAAAAATTCTTTTAAATTCAAGTTACATGATTTTGGAAAGTTGGTAAATTTGCACACAAACTATATAATGTAATGACTATGGAGAAATTGTGGATGTAACTGAAAGGCACATCCTGTTACATGCAAACCTTAAATGACATTTTTTGTTAAATGACATTTATTTTAGAAATAACCATTCTATAACAAAGAAAAACTGTTCTATAACAAAGAAAAACTGTTCTATAATCAGAACTCAGAAAATTTTGGGATGTTCCTCAACTTCGTGGAATGACCTGTATATACAATTTGTGGACATGGTGTGAAATGAATGTTAAGAAGTGGAAAACCAACCTTTCGGTTTGAGAGAAGGCTTCGATGCAGATATCCTTGATGTGTTTTTTTTTTGCAGCTGCATACAGAGACATGAAAAAGAACATTTGGGTCAAAATTTAAAATACAGCTTAATGTTTGATAACTGTAATTTTGTTGAAACATAATATTATACATGAATTGGAGTAAATGAGATAGCTTACTAGAACTTGGCATGTTGCACTTTGTTGAATGTATCATTAACTGATAGAAGACTTTGAAAGAGCACAGGTTAAAGGGGTTGTCAAAAATGTAACTAAAATAACAAAAACAGGCATGCAACTGGGAAGTCACAGAAAGAGGAAATTCAAATCTTTGCAAGACTTTGTACAGTGTTTTTCTATTTTTCAATGGCATACATGGGAAGTAAAAAAAAAAGTAAATCAGCTGATCCAAGTAAAAGTTGCATGTCTGCTGAGCAAACAATTGTGGTTTTTTATGATATGGAAATACTTAGGAATCTATAAGAAAACTCAATGTTGTTTGAAAGGTAAAAACAGTCAGCAGGTAACAAATACAAAATTATGTTGTATTTTGTGGAGGGAGTTGTTTTGTGTTCTTAGTATTTGCAGCCAAATATATTTATTTATGTTCATATGTCCGATGAGTTGTCGTCAGTGTCGATTAAATATTTTTGTGCGATGAGGTAAGCGTTGGCGGATTCGGGAAATGGGTGTGCTGCAAGTGCAACCACTCACTTGAGCTGCAATGTAAGTAATGAAGAAAATGGGGCTTTAAAAATCCTTCCCCTAAATTACCAAAATGCCCCCCCCCAAAAAAAAAAAACGTAATACAAAGACAGAGCAAGGCCCATAAGATAGGAAAGTGTAGACATTATGTCACCCACTTTTATCAATGAAACCTGGTGCTAAATATCATGTTGTCAAAATGTTGAAGGTGTACTGATTGTTGTGCATTAGTTTGTATTGGTGTGCGTCATTTATATGCAATTCTTACCTCAAGGTCAGTGTACTGTGTACTTTTAATACAAACAGTATTGTTGAACAGCTTGCAGTATACATTTGTTATCTCCAGCAGGGACATCGATGTCAGCAGCATCCTTCCACAAGTTCACCACGATGCGTTTTTTAGTATCATGTGTATCGGTTGAGTTCTAGGAGTCTTCGTTTGGAATTTGGAGTTTCTTTGATTGGCGAGACCTTTTTTGAGAATAATAGTTGTATATACTGGTACAAAAGAATATGCCATTACAAAAGTAATATTTACATACACCTTCAGTTGAGTGAAAAAATGCATTTTTTTTGGTGACACGACTAGTTAGTTTTGGTAGACTTCAATTTCAAACCTGATGTTTTTATTAGATAAACACTGAACATTTGTTCATTTTAGTACTGTGAAGCCTGTTTTGTGAAGGAGACCAGATAGAGTGAGCATAGACAAATAAAATGAATAAATGGTACAAACTTACACTCTTCCCAGTTCCTGTAACTGAGAATCGTTCGTAATGCTTGTGTTGCTCTGCCTTCTGCAGAGGTACACTCGGTGGGTTGTAAAAGCATTCCAGGGCGGGACAGTTCTAGTCAAAAAGTTGGCCTCTGTAAATCTGTTATGGCAAAAGAAAGAAAGCCTTTTGTTATGTTGTGACTACTAATTTGGAGAATACATGAACTTTGTAGTGAGATTACAAATGTAGGTTTTTTTTATTGGAATGATAAGTGTCTTGTGTACAAAGTGATGGCAAAAATATGCATTATAGTCAGGTTGAATTATAAGAAACTGATCACAGTAGTCAGTTGATTTTTTTTGAATAAATGAAAGAAAGGACCTATTTTTTTTTCAAATGTGTGGTGTGTGTGGCAGAGAAATGTGTGGCTATAAAGAAAATATACAGGATATAGTTTTTTACAAACTGTTCGAGGCAACTTTGAAAATCTGTGTTTCCCAAATAAAGCGTTAGTTTTAAGGACGCCGTTTTTTGTGCAGGATGCACACAGGAGAACATTTTATGGGCATAATTTATGTTTCTAGAGCAATACTTTTTTTACCTTTGACTTGGTGGTTGATAATGTGATGTCCGGATTCCCTGGTTAGGATGTTTGCACAAGTTGCACGCAGAAACATCCCTTAAAACAGTGATGGGAAATGGTTGGCGATACTTGTATAAACTTCTTTGATGGTGTGATCATCCATTTGTGCGTCAATACATTTGTCAGCATTCTTTCTACGTTCTAGGTTCCCTAATGTAAAGAGAGTGACAGTTGTCATCTGGAAAGACAAAAAAGAAATTAATAACATGATTTGAATAAGGCAGCATACATAAGAGCAAGTAATGTGTCACAAGTTTCACATACGCATATTGCTGATGAGATCTATCCACAAAAGTGAAAAGTACAAACTTCACCATAGTTCCAATTTTATATTTGACTGTGTGGATCGAAACGTTTATGGTACTTGAGCTGTACTTCAGTACAAGATTACTCAAGGTCATGGAGCTGAGGTCTTGTAATCTAAATTCTGAATTATCAATGTCAGTGAAGTGAAGGCTGAAAATTTTACAATAAACACAGTAAAATGCAACTTAGAGTTTTATACATGGAGAAAATAGTACAACGTTGCCATGCTGATTTTTCCTATAACAGGATGGGCGTAAGCTAGTCCCACTAACTGGGTCGCTAGAACTCCTTTTTTGACATTTGGGATGTTACTATCGTACTAGCGATCCATTGAATACGGAAGCTTGAATAGCCTTCCGCGATACCGCGTTACCATGATAATTTATCACAGAAACCTGGAATTCAAAGATAAATCCTTCCTCGATACTCCGTTACCGCGATATTTTATCACAGAAATCTGGAATTCAAAGATAAATCCTTCCTCGATACCGTGTTACTGTGATTTCCTTGATATCGTATCTCAGAAAGACGTCTTTCCCTGATGATATCTCGAAAAGACATCTTTTCCTGATATCGTATCTCGGAAAGACGTCTTTCCCCGATATTGTATCTCGGAAAGACGTCTTTCCCCGATATTGTATCTCAAAAAGACGTCTTTCCCCGATATTGTATCTCGGAAAGACGTCTTTCCCCGATATTGTATCTCAAAAAGACGTCTTTCCCCGATATTGTATCTCGGAAAGACGTCTTTCCCCGATATTGTATCTCAAAAAGACGTCTTTCCCTGATACCGTACCTCGGAAAGACGTCTTTCAAAGCTACTTCATGTTAAGAAAAGCGAAGGTCTCAGACATCTGTTCAGCATAACAGCTTGTGGAAGAAGGCACCACCAATTAGCTTACCTGAAGAAGACGTAGTGCATCATGATTCCTAAATTGGTAAGTATAATTTTTTCACCAATGTCTTTTTTAAATGCCTAATGAATCTTGTAATGGTGTATGCAACGTATCTGAATCTAAACTAGTGATATCGGAATTCAACTGGTTCAGGTTGAGTCCAGGATTACATACTTGCCTGTAATGCCCCCACAATGGGACTACGTGAACATGTATTATTATTAAAAAGTTGAAAATAAGCGCAGGCTAATGGTTGAACATACATTGTGTTTTTATTCCTCCATGCACATACAAAACTTCATGGGTGAATAAAGATTATGTTGAGAGTATAATGTTTGTATTTGAATGAAGGCGGGAAGAATTTACCTGCTCTTCCGTGGCATCTTCCCCAGTAGTGCCTACTCTTTTTTTTTCAGTTCAAACTGTTTCCGGTTGTTAAAGTTGTTTCTTTTCTCTTGTATACAGGTTGTATTTGTGCTTATTATCCAGGAGGTATGTGCACCGCGACATGAGGGTGACTTTATTCCACGGGGTCTCAACAGGGAGCAACTGATTGCACACTATTTTCATCTGGGTTACACAGCAGCATATATATGTTCTATCCTGGCTCTTCGTCACGGGATCTTTCTGAGCATCCGCCACTTGCGCAGGTTATTGTGGTCTATGGGTTTGCGGATACATGGACAACATGCTCCTGCCCATGAAATAATAGCTGCTATGAGAAATGAGCTAAGGGGCAGCGGTAGGCTACTCGGATACCGCCTAATGTGGCACAGACTAAACTATCACTATGGCTTGCGAGTGTCTCAGAACGTCGTAAGAATGCTTCTTGGCACCCTAGATCCCCAAGGAGTTCGGTTAAGATCACGTGGTAGACTTATCCGGCGACAGTATTATTGCAGTGGGCCGAACCACATTTGGCATATTGATGGGTACGACAAACTGAAACAATTCGGATTTGCAATACATGGCGCCATCGATGGATTTTCACGTAAGGTCCTGTGGCTCTTTGTTGGCCCAAGTAATAATAACCCACAATTCATAGCTGGATTCTTTTTGGAGCAGTTGAAACGCGCAATGGGCACCCCGACATTACTGCGGTGTGATCGGGGAACTGAAAACAGCATTGTCAGAGTATTGCAAATAGCACTTCGAATGGATCATGACGATGAGTTGTCAGGAATTCGAAGTTTTATGTACGGCCGATCAACAAGCAACCAACGCACAGAGTGTTCGACGCATGGTAACACACTTCTGGATTAACTTTTTCAAAGACATGAGGGACCGAGGCATCTTCGACAATACAAATGAAATACACGTCGAATGTCTCAGGTTTTGCTTTACTTCTCTACTGCAAGACGAACTGGACCGGGCGGTCTTTTTGTGGAACAACCACTCTATTCGACATCAGCGCAATCATAATGAGTGTCCATCCGGAAAACCAAATATGCTGTATCACGCGCCTGAACTCTACGGATCGATTGACCGACTGAAGCCTTTGATGCATACTGTTGATGAAGTAGATGCCGTTGAAGCTCGATATTGTAAAAGGTTTCCTAAATATGGATGCAATCAGCAATTTGTACAAGTGATAACAGAGATCGTAGGACAGAATATTGACAATTTTGAATTGCCTAGGACTGCGGAAGAAGGACTAACACTGTATACACAAATACTGGAAATCATCGACATGATTTGAAAATACTGTAAAAGTTCTAAGGCTTTTGCATGAACAACAGTCTGTCATTAGCAAATAAGAAAATGTCAACGCATAGCCTTTTATTATGTTTTGTTTGGTTAGATTTTTCTTTTGTTTTGTACATAGCAAATTAAGATCAATCTGGTTTGAAGCTGGACGAATGGTTTACAATACAAACGCCATTTTGCACCGTGTGTCCGACTTTTTTTCTTAACAATGAGCGTTAGTTCTGTCCGTTATCAGCCATGACTGTGGTTGCGAAGGGCGATTTCTAAAGGTTACGTAACACTTTATTTTGAATGAAACTACATCACAGACATGTTCACACAGGCGGGCGATATCTTTCCCTTTTCAAACCATATGCACACCTTTAAAATGATTTTCTTGTGCAAAGATGCACAAGATGTCTTCATTTCACACAATATGCCAGGGTCATAATCAAAACAGCCGTATGCATAATACACATCACATATTGCATAGTAGCAGATCCAGAGGGAGGTGCACCTGGCATATGTCTCCTCCATTCGCATTTTTTTTTCTTTTTTGGGGGGTTGTGATACCCGTTTTCTTTTTTCTTTCTTTCTTTTCAATTCACAAATTTAAAACAAAACAAAATTCCATACTTGTATGTTCAGGTTCCCCTTCATTTTGGACGTCCCCTTTTGTAAGCACTTATTAGGCACCCCCCCCTGAAAATGTTGGACCTGCCACCATCATAGTTCATACACTCCTTTACGAATGCTGTAGGTCCCTGCAGGAACTACTTATTCTGTAAAACCTTACCTTCTTGCCTTGAAGTAGATTATGTAGTTTTTCTTGAAGGCTTCTTTTTGTTCCTGAAGAAGAAAAGCATTAACATGAAACAGGGCAACACTGTTAACTCCTGTAATCCATTATCCTCTTGATATCACGAGGATAGACTACTGCTTGCATGTAGGGCACAGAATGCACGTGTTTGTCAAGAAGAAACCTACCCTGCATAATAATGTTTGTGAAATTATGACTGCACGTTTTCTCATGCACCGTTTTCATGCTTTTAAAATCATGATTATTCCTTTTTTCTTATTGTCTTCCCCATTGTTTTTCTAACCTGTTGCAATCCCGTTTTACATCTATTTTACATGGTTCCAAATACTGTAGAAAAACATTTGTAAAAATGTTTCAAACAGAGTAAAGATATATTTAAGTCATGGGTTAAGCTTGATGAATGTAACTCATCAAGCTTAAACTACTTTCACAATAATACTACTTTCACAACAAAACCAAAGGCTAACTTCACCTTCTGTGTAGTTAGTAAAACCATTTCCCAGCCATCGTGATAATTAATATTAGAAATACTGCAATGGTCTTTACCTGACGTTCCTGAAACTGCGTCATCAGTCTGCCGTGAGGAGGAAGCTTGAGAATGGGTCATCTCTGTATCATAAATCAGTATATTGCACAGTCACGACAATCAATTAAAGATGATATTGATGCAAAGTTGCAATCTTCAATCATACGTTTTAAACATTAGGTAACACAACAGCTTGAAAATCCACCTCCTTACAGGAATTAATCTTTCTTATAAAGAAAACTTAAAATCTGAAATGCCAACAGAAAATTTGAATTTCAAAGCATAAATATACAAGATCCTTCTAATTTTAATGCCCCAAGACATGTGGGATATCATTGAAAACCATTTAGTCAGGTTAAGCAAAACCACTAAATTAAAGATAAAGGAAGAATTTCAAGACAAATAAAATGTACCATAATGAAAAAAATAACTGATTACCTCTGTTCAATCCCACTGGTTGCACACTGGTGTTGACTGTAAACAAAACATCACAATTTAAGAATTAATATGCAGCACATCATTAATACAGAATCTATGCATTAATCAACAAAGACCTCCCCAAGGAATAATGCAACACAAACTGTCATCTAAGCCACTCCACACAGAGGCTTAAGTAAGCTTTGCGTTTTATACAACATACAATTGCAGACTATGGAACTTCTTCCAATTTTCCTACTTTTAATTATTATAAAGCTCATATTAAAGTGAATGGTAGGCATTTTTACCTCCATTTATGAAATCCACATTTAGTAAATTTCATTAAAGTTGATGAGCAAAATAGTAGTTTTTACAGGTTTGGGTGTGTACGTTTCTGTCTGTTGGCTCTTTATTGGTGTCACCAGTGCTGGGTATTTTGATGTGCTTACCGATTCTGTATCTTGCCATTGGTTCGATTGCACTTGGGAATTTGTATGTAACATATTCACTGAAATCTCTATCATACACCTGCAGGCGGAGATCGATTTTTTCCAGTGAGATCAAGTCCCTGTAATTTAAAAATAAAATAAAAAAGAAAAATAGATAGATCGAGAGTGTCCCATTGTACC